GAGAAGAAATTCCCAGGTATAGTGAAAGCATCATAGCAACCCAAGTATTAATCCATAGTTAGAATTCACTAAATGCAATAGTGATAACTCGTCTTATGGTTATAAAAAAGCATTCAGCAGTAATTTTATAAAATCAGAAATTTATAAATCCCCGATAGTTGAGGTCAGAGCAATGCCAGAAGGAACAGAAAGGAAGAAAAAACATTTTCAAATCTTTTGCTAACTGATATGGAAAGGAAGAAAAAGGAGGGGCTAATGATCCTAATGGTGGTAAAGTAAGTTATATATTTATGTGGAATAACAGGAAAAACTGGGTATAAAATCAGTAGTGAGAAATGGAGTAAGAAATGATTCTATGGCATATATATATATATGTATTAGAGGAAAAGTTACAGGGAGAGAATGGGATAGAAAAAAGAAAAGAACCATAATGGAAAGATAAGAAATAGAAGAAAGAATTCAGGTTAAAATATATGGGTATGACTGGAAGGAAAAAAAGGAACATGGGAGAATACTTTACCATTTGTAAACTATTGGAAGAAAAGGGAAAGAGGAAGAGAAACACAATCCACCATCACACACACACACACACACACACACACACACACAGCCTTAAAAGAAAATAATGGTCAGTTATTGGAATAAAAGTAGGGAGAAATGAACAGAAAAGGGAAAACAGTGAAAAATAAAAATATCTATTGTTTTGAACTCGTGGGTCTTTTCCATACCCAATATTTTAGGAGCAGAGCTCAAGCCAAATGTGCTAATGCTGGAAGTCTAAGGGGTCAGTCCAGTACCAGAAATGATGCCAGATGCACACACTCACATATAATGGGGATCAGGCATCAGTACATCCTTCCAACCCTATGTGACTCAGGATGGACCTGGCTTCTGGCCACATGAGCTGGATCTACATTTACCAACTCAAGCTTTCAGCAGAACTCCCTTCAGTCTATTTTCTGGTAACTTTCACATGATGATAGTCTGCTATCAATAGAACCAGTAGCCAAGCTCCCTTGACGCATGGCTGCAGTGGCCTGTGAGTGCCTAAATGTTTGAGCACAGAGAAATGAACTATGAAGAACTGATTCCCTAGGAGATTCCTTCTGAGAAATGTTCTCAAGGTTTCTGTTCTTAAATAAAAGTTTGATAGTTTTGTACTCTCTAACCTACAGTGAGATCTTAATGATTTATGAGACATCCTCAATTCATCTTTCTTCTTGTCACTGTATAAGATAGTTGGTTTTTATTTAATGGTGCTAAACACCTTAGCAATCACACTTCACTTGGCACCAAATTTATGCACGGGTCCTTCTGTGCAAAAATTTATTTTTAAGTTTTTTTTTTTTCGTTCTGCCTGTTGTCCATTCTCATGGACATCTCATCGTTTTGTATACTGTCCATTCTCAATATAAATCTGGTAAAAGTCAACCACCAATATCCATGCCACATCATAAAGTTTGGGCTTTCTTGTCATTTTTTTCCAGCAGATTAATTAAGCCACCTCCCTTAACCTCAGTCACTTTGAGAGTCATAATACACAGAGAAAATGTACAAATTTTTCCACCAGAGCCTAATACATTAGTCCTTGTTCACATTGGTATCTCCAAAGTCTGTTTCAGCATCATAAATTCATAAGGAAACACCAAAAAAATCAAGTTTCAAATACACAATTTGTTTCTCCATATTATAGTACTAATAAATGTGATAATATATTTTTGCAATGCTGTTTAACAAAATGAATTAATGTAAAACACAATGAACATTTTATATTAATTACTCTGGAGCACTATATTTTGGAAATATATGTTCTGCTTTTCACTCATGTTTTTAGGGGCTAGCAACATTCAATCTCTGCTGCACATTAGAATCACCATTCTAGATTTAATAAATAATATCTGTTTAATTTTGAGAGTGTAATTCAATTGACATGGAACATACTATGGAGAAAAATGATTTAAGTTTCCCATATAATTTTAAGTATAGGAAATTTGGACACTTACATTTTAGACCTTGCATTTATATAATATATGATATACATATTGAGATATATATATATATATATATATATATATATATATATATAATGCTATATGTACCTGCATATCAATCATCAAGATAGATTTTAAGTACAGAACAATGCAATATAGTTTTTACTTTAGACTTTCATATGTGGTGTCAAAAGTTAAATGTTTGGAAACAAAATTTTTATTCTTGATGTAAAGCAATTGATCTTCCCCAGTATTATTATTCTTTTTTCTTTTTTCTTTTTGATACCGGGAATCAAACTTGTGACCTCACGCTTTACCATGCAGGCATTTACGCTGTTGAGCCAAATCCAGGGCCCTCTTCAGGATTATTTTTGCCAAGAGGAAATCTTATGAACTTGATCTTTTAAGAAATACATATAGAATTTTCTAGTACAAATTATGATGTGTCAATGTAGAAAAAAGTGGAAAACAATTATTTAAAATAAATCCATTTAACTGTATATACTTTGCAATCAGGAGGATGCTTCTTTTAAAGGCCACTATTGTTATGCTACAGCAAATTATTCATTATTTCATTCAGTCCAAACTTCCTTACATTCCTGCATTCTAAATTTTTAATATTATTGAAAATACCACAAAACATGACAAAATTAATATTTACACAAAGTAGTAGTTTGTTTTTTATAATGAAAGTTTTATAAATACCTAAATAATTTGATATAAATACCTAAACAATTTATTATAAAATTTCAAGCACTGTAACATTGTACATTTTTCCTAATTAACTAAGATATAGAGACTAGTACTTTAGAACTTTTGACTATGTTAAACTAATATTTGAAAGTAAAGCAAGATGGAAGAGTGAAAGAGGATAAAATATAGAATAATACTTCATACTATGGCACAAACTATTTTATGAATAATTATTAGCAAGCAATTATGAATAAGTAAGGAGAGGAAATATATAGGTATATTTAAGTATATACGAAATATTTCTTGAGATTTTCTGTAATATCAGCTGGATATAATTTTCTCCTTGCCATTTAACATAATTTAAAATATTTGTAAATTGGAGAAATTGTTTAAACTCTTTTAATACTTATTTTTTTCTTTTATTTTCATAACTACAATAGTACTTCCCAAGAATATTATGAGAATTGAATGTGATCGTGTCATGGAGATGTCTAGCCAAAAGCTAGGCTAAATCCTCAGTAGATGGTTATTATTTAATTTTCACAACTATGACTAAATCATTTTTCTTTCATTGAGGCTGAATTTCCCAAGATGCATTTGAAATATAAATTACAACTACCACAAAGTAATTCATCTTCTTTTAATTTACTTTACTATTCTGAAATTTGAATCACGCTACTGTCCATCTCTAATATGGCTTAGAAGGAGCTGATCTCAGAATGTGACACAGACATCCTATATTTTGTACAAGGTTACTGGGATCCTTTTGTCTTCTTCCAGAGCTCTTTCCAAGCTTATGTTGTTCTGGAAAAGAATTGACAGGAAAGAAGGTAGCAAGTTGTTTTGCATTCACTAAAGTTATTCAAGGTAGGATTAAAATAGGAAAAGAAACATACTTGTCATAGTGCTGAGTGGTGAGCAGGAAAGGGTTGCAGCAGCCAGGAGGCATCGTCTTTTATATTGTGCATTCTGATGTCAAATTTGGTCATTTTATAAAAATCCTGCTTGATCTTGTGATAGAAGAAATGAAGATATCATTCTAAAAATGGTACTAGTTGTAAGGATTCTGTAGCTTCTCTGTGCATGTCCTGAATATCTCTTATCACTCCTACCTACCCAGCCACTCGTCATGTTCTAAATTCCTGTCTCAGCATGGCTACAACATGCACGCTATTAGGTTAATACGCTATTAGATAATCTCTGCGTTTTACTACCATATCATATATACAAGCACAATCTGGTCTAGTCTACAAAGGATTCCATTACACCTTGTATGACACAAAAAGGAGGCTGAGTGATCATTTCCACCTTCTGCTAGGTAGCTTTGTGTTATTATGTACATAGCTTGTGAAAACTGTCTACTCAGGTCATGAGGAACACTGCTAAAAATTACTTACTAATGTTAAAGTTTACAACTTGTATGTTCACTGTGCTAACTCTCTGAGGCAACATGTGATCCTTGGGTTGTGAGTTACACATACCTTATTTAAAGGCTCATGATGAATAGAATATTACTAATCTTAATCTCTGTCTCCATGTAAGGCCTGATACAGGTTCACTATTCTTACTTGAAAAAAATGAAATTTGAAATATTCCAAAACTTTTTGAAAGCCAACTTGACACCACAAGTGAAATTTTCTACACCTGACATCATGTGATAAGTCTCTGTCAAAATGTAGAAAGACCAAAAATGAGGAAAATAATCTTTCACTTATGTTTTTATGTGTATATGTGACATACATTTATTTTGCCTTTATACTGCGTCCAAATCCAAAGACAATTCATTAGGTTAATGTAAACACTCTAAAGCTTGAAAAATATCTCTCATGTGAAATATGTCTCATACATTTTTTAAAAATTTATACTATTTAGATTTTCCAAGAGTTTTGTTTCACTAATGACAAATATTTTAAAATAAAAGCTAAATTGAATTAGATTATAAATGACACTTGTAACAAAGACAAAATAGCAATCTCAGAGCTGAATAACAGCAGAAATAGAGTAGGTTAAGTGGGGTGTCCTTAAAAGATGTTGATTTAGGATAACTTTGCCTTTTTCCAAATGATTTGTGTTGATTTCCTTTGGGTGGTTTACTGAAAATTTTTGTAATCAGACTTTGATGAAAAAATGACTAATAACGAAAAAACAAGAGAAAAAATAATTATCCAAAACTTGTTTTCACCTTTTTCCAACAATTTTTTTCAGTTGCAAATTACACTAAATTCATAGGAAGTGTGATGTCTAGTGGAACTAGGGTATTGTGAAGGGTGTCCTCATGGAAGCCATTGATGTGAACTCAAGTTCTTTCCATTACAGATAAAAAGACATGTGGACCTCATGAATTCCAGTGTAAAAACAGCAACTGCATTCCAGATCACTGGCGATGCGATAGCCAGAATGACTGCAGCGATAACTCTGATGAAGAAAATTGTAGTAAGTAACTCGTGCCAAATAACCTTGCAGTCTTGTCAGGACGCAGCTTTTCTTTCAGTTAAGGTAAAATGTGAACTTACCTGTCCTGCAACTCACAATATTATATGTATATTCACATATGATCAAGAATATTCAGACTAAATTGACTTAAATCTTAACAAGCTAGAATTACTAGATTTATTTTCTTCCAGTTCTCAGAATTACTATGAATGCATGATGAGGTTTAATGCAACCTGTTAGAATGCAATGGAGGAGTTTCTCTGTGAAAGTTTATACAATGAGCTGACTGACAAGGAGATGTAAAAAAACAAAAAAAAACAAAAACAAAACAAACAAAAAAAAACCTTCTTATTCTATGATAGATAGTATTCATTTCATTTCAGTCTCAAAATCTTTTGCTCTGCAAATTCATCCTAGCTTATATTTCAGTGAATCTGTTATTTCTCTGCAGATGCGATCATAAGTATTTAAGATGTTTTTATTTAAAAATAGAATAACATCTTCATTATGAACTTACTCTTCTATTTTATAATTTTGAAAATAAATATCCAATAATTTTATTTTCTAAAACATATGGCACTATGCAAAGGTATTGATAATACCTGTAAATTTTTAAAATTAGATTCTTAGCAAATTTCTTGCTTTCCTTGCTATTTTGCCTGGGCTATAACCTAGAGTTTGCACATGCTCTGCAAGTATTTGAATACTGAGCAGATATACACTCACTATTTCTGAGAACCTTTTATCAGTGCTTCCATACATTATTGTGTGGACAAGTATAATAATACATTTAAAATATGATAATTATATTCTATCTATTAAATATTTGTACCTTTCTTCTTCCAAAAAAGGAGATGGAGCAGATTAAAAACAATAATGTCTCCTTTTACATATGTTTTATTGTTAAAAGAGCATTCACTCTTAGGAGGAAGAAGATTAAATTTGCTAGGAATATGTTACACTAAAGCATGCAATTAGTAGAGCAAACGCTTAAAAAATTACAAAAACTTTTAAATTACAAAATAGGAACTAATGTTTTGAGTAATTTTTCAAAAATCTGACACATTTGAGAACATGTAGGTTAAACCTGAGGTGTCTGTATTATTTCAATTAGTGAATACTCTGAATATAGGAATCTTTTCAACTGCTGCATACAACTAACTCCTAACTAATCAAAGTCACTGAAAGGTAGAGAAAATTGCTGGGAGTAAAAACACTTTAGATTTCTTTATTTAGCAAATTAAAAAAAAAACTTATATACTTTCTTCTCTGTTTTGCCAGGGATAACAATAAAAAATTTGATAGAATTATGGGAGTAATGATAAAAGAATAAAAGCAGAAAAGAAAATATCACATACAGTGTATTCTTGTTTCTTTGTATATCAAGTGAAATATAGTTTGGTATGCTTTGATGCTGATTGTATGCTGATGTATAGATTTCTGAAGTCAAATACTTTAGGACTGAATGATACTGGAAATATGAGAGTGTGAGTGAGAAGGAAATTTGGGGAACTTTGGTGTGGAGAATTTTTATTCAAAGCAGTAGTCCATATTGTGTGAGAGCTTAGACTCCTACTATAATAAGAAAAGAAAGAGAAGGATGAAGGTTTAAGATAGCCTTCTTTTGAGTCTGCAGTGGTGTTCTAAGTGGCTAAATATCATTGTACTGACATCCAAATGTCAGTCTTTGGCACAAGAAAGCAAAACAATAATTGTCTCACTTGTCTCTGTGGAAACTGAAATCAGTCTTTGTAGCCACAAAACCCTTAAGAAAGAAACAAAGCATGTAGCTGCAATGTCAAGCATTGTGGTATAAAATACTCTATTATATGTGTTTCTCTTCTAGTTTCTATTCACTCTGAATTTTTTTTTGTAAGACAAGTAATACTGATGAAATTGCATAGGAATATGACACTGGACAAGAAAATATTACATTATATTTGGGACAGAGAAGAACAAAAGGCATACACAGAATAAGTGTAGTAATAGGTTTATATGCAGGGAAAATTTAAGACTTTAAGACAAGTATGAAAGTATATTGATTTGGTAAGCATGTAGAATACTCGAAAAATAGCAAATGGATAACTGTGAAACTTCAAATTTTGATGTTCGAAGATGCTGTCCTACAGACGCCAGAAGAAGTTGACATTACAAACACCAGTTGTTCTGTAGAGACCAAAGATGTAGAGAAAGAGTGATTCAGTTAATTAGCAATAGTTGGACATTGCAGCACGCACCTGTAATCCCAGCCCTTTGGAGAATGAAGTAGAATAATCACAAATTTGAGTCGTTCAGTTCATAATGAGAACCTGCCTCAAAAAAAATATTTAAAAATAAAGATAAGGATGTAGATCAGTGTGAAGGTCCTCATTTCAATCCCTAGTGTCATAAAAAAGACATTAGTAATACATAATATACTAATATGGAAGCCAATGTTAAGACAAATTGCTACTATAATAAATGACATCAAGATATTTCTCTATGCTATTGAAGTTACTATAAATCTATACATCTACACTTTCGTCAAATTATAATGCTTATTTACTAGACATTTGCTTTTTCATTTATAACTTTATACATGTATACAGGAGTAATGATTCCTTGTCATGTCATCTAAATTTTATTTGTCAATAATATGCAACTTGATTTACAATGAATAATTATTGCTATTTATTATTAAGTAGGAAAATGTACCAGAGATAATAAATGAACTGTATATTTAAAACCAATGGCAACATATTATTAAAGTCACTTTCGTATTTATTTCTGAATCTGCTTTAATTAATTTTCTTTTTAAATTGTGTTGGAGGCACTTTAATCATATCTAAGGAAAGAGTTCAAATAATAGTGCCGCAATTAACAAACAGCTATGTTTTAAATTTAATAAGCATTTTTACATTTTAATTTTCTTGGGATAGTTAATTGTCATTTCAACATCATGTGCTGATCATTTCTCCTCCTAAGTTAAGCAAAAGTAGTTTGATTTAGCAATAATTTCTGTTCTTTTAAAACAAAAATTTTTTCATAATCAAATAATTTTGTAAACTAGATCAATGATGTTGAAATGCTTGAAAAATCTCACCAAAATAGATGATATGTAGTTTTCTAAGTAATCGATGTGCAAAATAAATTTAATCTTTGCATTATGAAGTTATTATTATGATTATTATTATTTTATACTGGATATTATATTCATGACCTCATGTTGCCAGGCAAGTGCTGTGCCACAGAGCCCTAGAAATTTTCTGGCTCCAGAAGTCAAGAATCTTACAGATCTTAAAATATGAAATAATTGTATCTATTTGACTACAGCTTTACAAGGAGAGAAGTATTCTTGCCTTATGTGAATATGTAGTACTTTCACACTGACTTTGTGTCAAAAGATTAAATTTATAGGATAGAGTTATATAAAATGTATTCTAAAAATGTATTCTCAGTTTTTTATACCCACACTCATGTAGCTTTTGAAATTACTAGTAAATGTTCTTGATAATATAATTAGCGGAGAATCTGATCTACAGAAGTTTTTCTGTTGTGTAACGGATTTTTAAGTTGTACGAATTTTTAAGTTGATTTCATTTCCTTCAGTTTTTTTTTTTTCAATTATGGTAAAAAGTTTTCCAAGTTTCTTTTTAATGTTCACAGGTTATGCTTTGTCCTCTATTGATATTGAAGGAAATGACCAACCAATATGATGCCCTCATTTTGTATACTTATTATGCAGCTCATTTTGATCTTCCCAAACACATGAAGGACATCCACAGAAGTTTCTTGATTGGCAATCTGCCTATCTAGATAAAATACATGGGAAACTTTATTAGTTGCTTATGTGCAGAGTTTTCCATTCACTCTGTGAATATTAGAGAAAATTAGAGAAAATTAGTGTAATGTTAGAGAATGTAATAATAGAGAATATTAGTAATATTAGAGAAAATTAGTGTAGAGACAAAATTTTACAAATATTGGAGAGAGTGCTTGCTTTGGCAGCACATACACTAAAACTCTAATAATACAGAAATATTGGAGGGAAAGTTACATTCAACATTGTTATCCAGATTGTTATTCAGACACAATCACCTTTTGTTGTAGTACTTTTTATAATAAGTCAATTATCACCCCAAATATGGGAGTTAGTCGTTCACTTTACTTTGTAAAAGATAAGATAGAAAAAAAAAATGTTGGGCTCTTCTCTCCTGTCAAAACACATTTACCCAAGAGAAAGTTTCTTCTAAAGCTCTCTAGTGACAAAAGACTCTATAGTCTGTACATGAGAGTTAGTGTTAGACTACTTACTTTATTCTTTTCTGTATTTATATCTGTATAAATGTATTAATTCATACTCATACTAGATTTGCATATATTTTAAAGCATAATAGAAATATAGAGATTTGTATTTGAACTGAGAATAGTTTTTCTAACAAATGACGTAGTCTCATCACCTCTTTTTGAAACAGAATATTTAGTAATATTATAACAGAATCTATAGAAAGAAATTTTCTGGGATTATCCTGCAGATGCCTTAAGGTATTTCCTGTATAACTTTTTACTCTGACCTCAAGCTCCTACCTTTTATATAGCAAAATATATCAAAGTATGAAGCCATGGCTAATTGTCACATAAATGACACATTTGCTTTTAAATAAGATAAAAGCAATTTAGAACAATAGAAGAATAATCAATCTTCTGATAGCTCTCTAATTGACAAAATTAAATGCTTCTGCTTTTAAGTGTTGTACACTTCACAGTACTTTACTCTCTCTACTCATTTATTATAGACCTATTTAGTTCTTATTTCCCATTGTTAGATAAATTCACATATTTTATTGCGATTTATTATCCTTAAGTAAGATAATGCATGCATGTGCAAACACAAGGGTAGTTAAATCAATTCAGTATATACTCACAAGAACAAAAATATTTCCTCATTTTATAAATATTATTTATTTGAATCAAGGTCTTGCCATGTGGATAATGCTGGCCTTGAAAACTCCCTCTGTAGTGTAGGCTGGACTCAATGGCATCAATCCTTCTGCCTTAGGGTACTGAATGCTGGGATTATAGCCATATGCAAACATGTTTGGCTTCTTCATTATTATGAAATAAAACAGACCTTATTAAACATGTACTTAGAAATGTAAATTGACTTCTGAGGACTTTAATGTTAATCTGTGTACTGGATGAGCATTGATTATTTCCTCAATGGTGAGACGATGGTATTCTGAGATGTAAAAACCTACAGACCCTGGTATCAAGATGCTTTGAGTGCACTCATTTAGAAAGACTCTGACAGTAGCGTATGCTTTATGGAGCTAGGCGGATCCACTGGTGAGTTACTTCAAATAATTAACAGAACTATCCTAGTGCCTAACAATGAAAGGTTAGTGGTTATTAGTTATTGTTAGTAGTAGTGTAAATATGATTATTTTAAAGATAAACTATATATAAACACAGTGTACAGATGTCAAAAACAACTGCCATTGTCACATTACTTAATCAAATGAGAGATATGAGATCACCTGTTTAATGTTTCCTATTTTACTGCATAGTATCTTCTTGTACTCAAAATAAAGGTTATATTTTAAAACAAAATAGAATCCCAAGCAGAACCAAATGTTCTCTTATACACCTACTACAACTTTCAATGATCCCTACATATTCTGAAATTTTGTTATATAAAATCATAGATGTCCTTTTGCTACCCCTAGCAGCGGAGTAGATTATGTTGAGCAATATTCAAATGAAGCTGAATCATTCACAATATATACACAGAATATTAGGCTTAATTTATGTGTTTCTTAATTGTAATGCCACTTAACTATTCCTCCTTCACCTCAATAAGACTATTTTCATATGTGACAAAACTGTAAATGCAGTTAATGAATGCTGAAAATGAGAAGGGATAATCTTTCATCATGCCAGATAGGACTCTGAACAAGAGTTGATGTTCAGAGGTCACACTAATTACTTTCAGAGGTTCTACCTCATTGTTCAGATGAAGCATATTTCACAAAGATGTTAGCGCAAATAGTCATATTGAAATATCTGTAATATCTGAAATATGCAATAGCACAATGAAATCAAAAAGTAGCAAAGTAGTTAAATTGACAGATAAATTATTTAGGGCAAAAGCAAATCATGATATAAATCAGTAGACAGTTTTCAAAGAAACCAACCTCTTTTGAACTGTTTTACCATTATATACTTGTTCACATCTATAGTCATGTACCATTCTTATCCATGAACTCTGGACTTTTTGGTGACAAAACTAAATAACTTAAAATTTGCTAGATTACATAACAAAAAGTCAAGAACCAAAAGCTAACCCCCTTAATAAATAGACCCATATGTGCAGCGATTCACAAAAGGCCTTACTTATATGCATTAAAATTCTAACCTTAAATGATTATTGTCACATTGTAACAACATGTGAAGATTTTTTTGTCTTTCATTTTACTTTGTTCCAGTGTTTTTGTTAAATAGAAGACTATCTGTTGCCTTGTTTTTCAATTTTTTTTCTTTACTGTTACTTTATTTTCATGACTACTGTAAATTTGAAAAAAAAATCATTGTATTATGTACTATAGATGTTTCATGAGAGTTTTCCTTGCTAAACAATTTATTGATTCTGCTTGGCCAACTTCTTTTTTATTTAATGCTTTCTTATGTTGCACACCATATAAATTTTAGAATGCAGTTATATATAATACAATAACCTTGTGCTATTTTTCTATTCCCAGAGCCACAGACCTGTACATTGAAAGATTTTCTCTGTGCTAGTGGTGACTGTGTTTCTTCAAGGTTTTGGTGTGACGGAGATTTTGACTGTGCAGATGGCTCTGATGAGGTAGGAATCTCTGCAAACTCAAACAAACAAACAACAAAAGAAAACAGATCCATAAACTCCTTTTATAATTATCATTATTCAACTCAAGAAGTATGACCAAGGAATTCTCTAAAATACACTTTGATTCCAACCACTTGAGATAACTATTAGTCTGTGAGCTGTGCTACACACTTCAGCATCTAGCATAGTGAGTAACTCTTGTGCTATTCTGACAGTTAGTTTTATAGTCTGTTTTACCTCAAGTGGCGAATAGCTGGGTTGGGAATAGGATGTTTGGAAACCCTATTCCCTGTAGCTAATGCCCTTGCCATCTGTGAATTTGTTCATAAATTTTCAGCAGTATTTATAGTCAGGAGTAATATTTTTATGCATTTTAAACAGTTTCTTCTCCCCAGTCCCTTTTTTCAATATACTCTTATAGACTTTAGTGCTGATCATCAATTTTCATGAAACTGTAGCTTTCCTGAGGTGATGAATAACAGCACATTTATAATAAGGCTCATGTACACATAGATTTACGTGAAAAAGTTTACAGTTTCCCTAGATAATTCAGTAAACTTGAATTCTGCTAATATTTATGTGTTTATATTTTAGATAATTATTAAAAATTTTTATTATTTTATAAAAAGTGATGCTTATATTTTTTCTCAGTTAAATTTAAAATGACCCAAGCATTCTCTTTTCAACATCATGGAGAATTTCATTAGTGATCAGTTTTAGGACTTTTTTTTTTCCCTATTCACTTACATATCAGGAAAAAAGGGTTTGTGAAACTTATTCCAAAGGAAATGGATGTTTTCAGCTTTTAGTGGTCACTATGGCTCTCTCTACTATGGTTATTCCTTAGAATTATTTTTCTGACTGGCAAACATTTACTCATCCCTCCTGGAAGCGTTTAAACACAGAATATAATGTATGATGCATCCTCTTTACAGGTCCATAGGTCTGTGTTTTAGGTCTGACTCCCCTAGGCAAATACTGATTTCCTGTCTCCCTGGGAGAAACTGCTTGTCTCTACTGTTTACATAACCCCACAACTTAGTTCATTTTTAGTCCTGAGGCATTATTCTCAGGATCTGACAAATCTGAACTCTCTTACAGTTTGGGGAAAATCACTCTAATCACATTTAGGAACCTAGAATCAGAAACAAATGTGTGTAATTTTTAGAAAGAATGCCAGAAAAACATCAAGGATGTTTTCCTAAGAAAAAATAACACAAAATTTTTAACCCATGAATGAGCTATATGCTTTTATTTGCATATAATAAATATGCAAAGTATTTGCATGTTAAATAATAACATTTAATCATTCAAAAATTAAACTAAACATTCTTATGTCAAGAAAATATATTTCATGTAAACTCATCCATACTATGGAAATGCTTTGTTTTAGTTTTGGCTTTCAATAGGTTCCACCAGCCTATGTAATCTGAAACAATAACACATACTAATCTATTACTTACTTGCTGATGATTTTGTCTTGCATATTATTAGTAGATATTCAATGCACACACGTAAATTCAAAAATTTAATTTGAATCTCCTCAAAACCTTACTTATTTCAATGTAGGTATTTACTGCATTTCTCTCCTCTCATAACTTAGTGAACATATTTATTGATGAATGAATGCATCTCCACTTATCCAGACAATTTCATGACAGTGCTCAGAGGAAACTAAATGGACTCTCTGAAATGTGGTCTTTCTCTAGATTTACGAACATTTGTTAAAGCACACATATGCAATAAAGTGAGTAATCACTTTAGGGAGTGATTTCATTTTAGACAATAATCACTTTTAGGGAGTGAGAAATCACTATAAGGAGTGACTTCATTTTCCTGAATTCTGGAATAAATAAATGACCAAAAAAGGAACAATGGAGCAGACAAACAAAAATAAGAACTTGACAAATGGCTAGAAGGTAGAATTCCATAAAATAAATAGTCATATAAAGAAAAAGGAGAATTGCAAAGATGATTTTTATGAATGAACTGATGCTTTGTTTATTATTGATACTCAGTCAAAACAAAAACTAAAAAATTAGATCACTGAACTTGTTCATCAAACATATATCTTTGTGGTCTACACAGATGATACGTTAAAAGTGACAATTATATTTGGTCTCTACATCTACCATATTTTGTAAGTATAAAATGCCAAGAATCTAAACTTTATTTATGGACTCATAATTAATAAACATATTTTGCTAATTTGAAATTCATATATGGTAGTTCAAATTCTTCATTATGTTAAAGTCAATAGAATTCAAAACTTTAAAGTAAATAAAATTAAATACACATGTATATCAGGTTCTGTCCTAGTCGCTGATCTCCCAAACGAGTGTCCGTCGGAGGTTAAATAAAAAGTGAGAAATTGTATGATTTGTAAGGCTCCAGGAGGGTTAAAATCCTTTAATTAAGCTCAAAGCTTCGAGGGTAAAGACAAAGGATTTTCTGGGTCAGTCCACTATATTAGGACCAAGGACAAAGGGTGGAGAAACTGAGGAAAGTGCAGGCAATGAGCAGGACCTTGGGAGTCACTTCAAGGACATCTCCAACTAATGAATCAAGTCAATTCAGTAGCACTGTCTTATCATGAAGACATGGTAGAAGTGAGACCGTAGGAGTAATCTTTGCAGCTGCTGTCTTTACCTTGTTAATTGGGGTTGGAGCCAGAGTGTCCCCAGCTGTGACCTTATTTTGCCCTTTGAGGTATCTCTGGCCTCACAGGCCACCACAGGCCTCAGCCAGGACCAGTGATTCATAGAGGTTAACTTACTATGAATCAGCTCCCCTCGCCAGGTAAGGGGCCTAGGCCTAGGACAGACTCACAGATAAACATGGAAAGCCAATTAGTAAAATTTAAATCCTGCTCAGAGCCGCTTCATAGTGGTCTCCAACACATGTAGAAATGGAAATTTTAATTAAATCTCTATAGTATTAATTTCAAAAAGGGCAATTTGGGATGTTAATTTATCTTAATTTAAAAAAAATATTACTGATAATATTCTGGTGCAACTGCACGCAAGTTTTGTGGACTATAATAAACAAAAACCGAAAAAAGTATAAAGCATGAATTGTAATTGTTGATAGTTAATGAATGTTAATGAGAATAACATGAAGTTAATTGTACCTTTCTTCCTACTTTCTTTTGTGATTTAAAAGTTTCTAAATTAATTACTAAATATTCCCCACAAATGTACCATGCTACATGGGAATTTACTATAGAATGAACTTTTTTGATGATAAGAAATGGATCTAAAAGTACCAGCATCTGTGTATTTGTCAAAATTATCACAAAATTGTTTTTAAAGCTATTGTACTAACATAAGCCCAACATAACCATTCACTAATTCTACATATTTTAATGATAATCACCGTGAAACACTAAATATTCTATTTGTAGCCATTCATGGCTATGAAAATAAAATAGAAAAACATATATTAAAGAGGGAAGAAAAATTAAAAAACAAAACTAGAAGTCAATACCCTCAGTGAAACTAGGTAAAAATTCCTCAACAGATGTATTTGCGAAAGGAATCAAAAAGTAAACTTCAAAATTTATTCATCAAAATTAAGTGAGATTCATCAGTGATATAAGTATATTCAACATTTGTAAATGTGATACAGTACATAAGGAAATGAAGAACAAAAATGATATGAAAATAAATGCCAAAAAGAATCATTTCAAAAATGTAATATCTCTTTATGATAAAAATACTGAACAAAGAAGACACACAAAGAACAAAACTCAATGCATTATAGACCATTTATACTGAACCAGTTGCTAATATAATACTGTATTAAGGAAAATCTGAAAACATTTTCTTAAAATCTAGAACAATACAAACATGTCCACATTCATCAATTTTATTCAACACAATGCTAGATTTTATAGCCTAACTTTCAAACAGAGGGGAAAAAAGGCACTTGAATTAAAAAGAGAAGTCAAATTATTGTGGATGACATGAATTTTTATATAGAAAACTCCACTAACTTCAACAAAAAACATTAGAAGTTATGACCAAATTCAGCATTGCTATACTCTTAATTGTAAGTTAACTGAAATGAAACTTTTTAAAAGTCTCATTTAAAATAGTAAGTCAATAAATAAAAATTCTAGGAACAAACAACAATAATAAAGAATAAAATAATTCTGCAATGAAAATCATAAAACATGGGTGAAACTCTGAGTGTCAGGGTGAGCTTGCCAAGTTCAAGCCGGAAGGAGAACAAAAAGTCAAATTCCAGCCATTAAGGAGTCAAGTTCAAACTAGCAGCAGGCACACAATGTGTCTCACGCTGAACAAATCTGGTTTCGGCCTCATAGCTAGTGAAGCTCCATAAATGCAGGTTTACTGGGATTATTCTCTACCCTGCTATGAAGGTAAGGCTGGCTTTCTGAGATTAATCAACATCGATCTGGACTCTGCCACATTTGTCTACCAGTAATAGCAGAGGTACACCTTGAAGTGGACTTTTTTTTTTATCCCTTTATTCTCCAGATTTGCTCCTTAATCTCCTTCTCTTCTTTTATATCCCTACCCCTACCCCTGACAGCCCCTTTACAATTTTTTTCTCTTGAGCGTAAAATCAACATTATGAGGATTTATTTACTATGTACAATATCCTGGCTTGTGTCATATTTTACTACATAACTACAAATCTAGCTCATACAGTTAAAGCTAATAAATAAATAAGTGCCACAAGTTGTCATTCTTGGTTGTGCTCAATACTATTATTATTGTTGATTGTACTGTTTAGGTGAGAGGATCTAATTGTTCCAATCAGTTCTTCCTAGTATGCCAGGACTGAGACTGTCTAAGGGCCATGTACAATATTGTAGGCCACCGCCAAAGAATTGGGGCCAAGTAGGCAGCAGCTTCTTATCCCTAATATATTGAAGAGGTAGGATTTTTGCAAAAGACTCAAAACTCAAAAGCTACCTACACTTGAAAGACATCTCTGAGAAGTAGCTATTTTCTAAGTGTTCTAAGTATTAG